AGATATGTATTTATTGCCATTTTATTGTTCATACTTTGGATCTTCTTTTTCTTAACTAAGTCTCTTTAATATTTCATATAATAATGGTTCAGTGATGCTGAACTCCTTTAATTTTTTCTTGTATGCTAAAATTTTTATCTGCCCTTTGATTCTAAATGACAGCTTTTCTGGGTAGAGCAATCTTGGCTTTAAGTTCCTCCTTTTCATGACTTTGAATATATCTTGCCAATCTCTTCTAGCCTGAAAAGTTTCTTTTAAGAAATCAGGTGACAGTCTTTTGGGAACTCCCTTGTAGGTAACTAACTTCTTTTCTCTTGCTACTTTTAAGAATCTCTCTTTATCTTGAACTTTTGGCATTTTTAATTATGTGTCTTGGAGTGGGCCTCTTTGCATCCGTCTTGTTTGGGACCCTCTGTGGTTCCTGGACTTGCATGTCTGTTTCCTTCACCAGATTAGGAAAGATTTCTTTCACTTTTGATAGAAAAATCTATTTTTTTCAAACAGATTTCCAATGTTTTTGCTCTTTTTCTTCTTCTGGCACCCCTATGATGCAAATGTTGGAATGCTTGAAGTTGTCCCAGAGGCTGCTTATGCTACCCTTGTTTTCTTGGATTCTTTTTTTTTCTTGTTGTGATGATTGGTTGTTTTTTGCTTCCTTATGTTCTATATCATTGATTTGATTCTTGGCTTCATCTACTCTACTGTTGTTTCCCATGGTGTCCTTCATTTTCTGATTGGACCTTTTTTTATGTTGGTAAGGTCCTCACTAAGCTCCTTTAGCATCTTTATAACCAGAGTTATGAACTCTTTATCTGATAGATTGCTTATCTCCATTTTGTTTAGCTTTTTTTCTGGACGTTTGATCTGACCTTTCATCTGGGTCATGTTTCTTTGTCTCTTCATTTTGGCAGCCTTCCTGTGTTTGTTTCTATGTATTAGACAGAGCTGCATTGATTCCAAGTCTTGGTAGTATGGCCTAATGTAAGAGGTGTTCTGTAGGGTCCAGTGGCACAGCCTCCCCTATCACCCAAGTTAGGTATTCACGGTACACCTTTCAGGTGGGCTGAGTACACTCTCCTCTTGTAGTTGAGCCTTGATTGCTATTGGCAGGTTAATGGCAGGGATTTACCCAGGCCAGTCAACTGCAAGGATTGGCTGTGACCACTGACCACAAACCTCTATGGTCCATGGAGGATCAGCTGTGCAGGGGGAGGGTGGTAGTGCTCTGATATGGTCTCTAGCTGTCCGCTGCATGCGCTGGCCTTGGGGTTTCCTGGGTGGTGCAGGCCAAGGTTAGCCCCCATCTGTATTTTTCTCAGGGTCACCCTGCCTGAGCTATAAAGCAATCTGAGATGGCTGTTGCTTGTGCTGGGCTTGGAGATTCCCAGGAGAAGCCAAACTATAAATCTAGGCTGGCTGCCACTGGTGCCAGGCTTACGGCTCACTGAGGCTAACTGTTGCTTATTTGGGAGGATTTAGGAAGTTGTGAAGCATGAGCTAAGACCAGCCCTTCATACGGAAAAGCAGCTTGGGAGGGCCCCTAAGTTGGGTGGGGCAGAATCTCTGGGGATCCCCAAGGTGGGTCAAACATTGTTAGCCAGTTTGATGGAGTCTCGAATTGGTACCAGTTTACTGTCTCTATGAGGGGAGCGTTTAGGAAAAGGACAGTGGTCTCTGCTCACCGTGATGACAGACACTTCAGTTTCTCCCAGTATGCCACCGATGTCTATTAAGATGCTACCTGGTCCTGGAGCTCAGAGGTAGTGAGTCTGAGTAGGTGAGTCCAAATGTAGGTTATTTAAGAGGAACTCCTTGGGGCTCTGGAAGTTTCTTCCACCAACTCAATCCCCACTGGCTTTTTTAGCCCAAAGTTGTGGGGATTTATTTTCCTGGCACTGGAACCCTGGGCTGGGGAGTCTGGTTTGGGGCTGGGCCTCCTCACTCCCAAGGTATTCCCTCCCAGATTTTTATCCACAACACATGGGTATGGGACCAACTTGTTCTGCATCTGTGCCCCTCTTACCAGTCTGGATGGATTTGGTTTCTTTAATTCCATAGTTGTCAGATTTCTATTCAGCTCAATTTCTGGTGGTTCTGAGTGATGACTGTTCTATATTTTAGTTGTAATTTTGATGTGGTTGTGTGAAAAGGCCAGCCATGTCTGCCTACACCACCATCTATACTTGAAGTACCGAGTTTGTATTTTAGATTCAGTTTTTGATAGTTGTGCATTTGTTGCCATTTTAATGTTCCTACTTGTGATCTTTTTTTTTTATATAGGTCCCTTTGACATTTCATATGATAATGGCTTGGAGATGATGAGTTTTTTTAGTTTTACTCATCTGAGAAGCACTTTATCTTCCCTTCAATTCTAAATAATAGCTTTGCTGGATAGAGTAATCTAGGTTGTAGATCCTTGCTTTTTATCACTTTGAATACTTCTTGTTAGGTCCCCTCTGGCCTGAAAAGTATCTTTTGAGAAATTAGCTGACAGTCTTTTGGGGACTCCTTTGTAGGTAACTCTTTGCTTTGCTCTTGTTGCTTTTAAGATTTTCTTTATCTTTAACCTTTGGCATTTCAATTATGATGTGGTATGTTCCTCTTTGGGTCTATCTTATTTGGGACTTTCTGTGCTTCCTGGACTTGTATGTCTATTTTGTTCACCAAATTAGGGAAGTTTTCTTTCATTATTTTTTCAAATAAGTTTTTATTTTCTTGTTCTCCCTCTTCTCCTTCTGGTACCCCTATGATTCAAATGTTGGTATGTTTGGAGATGTCCCAAAGGCTCCTTATTTTATTCTCATTTTTCTTAATTCTTTTTCTTCTTGCTGTTTTGATTGAATGCTCTTTTCTTCCTCATGTTCAAAATTATTGATTTGAATCTTGGCTTTATCCCCTCCACTTTGGTTCCCTGTGGATTTTCTCTTATTTTACTTAATGAGTCCTTCATTTCTGCCTACGTCTTTTTTATGCTGTTGCAGTACCCAATGATTTCTTTGAACATCTGTATAAGACATGTTTTGAACTTTGCGTCTGATAGGTTGCTTATATCCTTTTCATTTAGTGCTTTTCCTGGACTTTTGCTCTGTTCTTTCCTTTGGGCCATTTTTCTTTGTCTCCTCATTTTGGCAGCTTCCCCGTGTTTGTGTCTGTGTATTAGGTAGAGCTACTTTGACTCCCTGTTTTAGTAGCATTGCCTATGTAGCAAAGGCACCTATAAATTGTGTGAGGTGGAACCTTAGGTAGTCACTGGGGTTAGGCAGCCTGTTTCACCACTTTATGGCTTTGTGTGGGGTAGGGCTCAGAGAGGGTACAGTGGCACTGCCTGGCCTCTGGAGATTGCCCAGGAGGAAGCTATCTCCCCAGCACTCTCCCCCTTAACATCAATTTCACTTCCTCCCCTTCTCCCCATATGCCACTTGTGCCCTAGTGCTGATAGCAGAGAGGGTAGGTATGCTTGTGGGTCCTTTAGGAGCAGTCTCTTGAGAATCCCACAGTGTTTTCCACTGCCCCAAGCCCCACTGGTTTTTACAGTCAGAAGTTATGAGGACTTATCTTCCTTGCCCCGGAACCCTTGGCTATGTGGTCTATTCTGGGGATGGGATTGCTCACTCCTTAGGTATCCCTCCCAATTTTTATCTGTCACACGTGAATGTGGGACCACCTGTTCTACTCTTTTCACACCTCTCTGTGCCTTTGTTGTCTTAGTTGTAGTTTTTGCTCTAGTTGTGCACAGAGATGAAGTGTGCTTACCTACACATCCATCTTAGCCAGAAGTCTGACAGCCTACTTTTAAATAATGTTATTTCAATTCATGTCTGTAGTAATCTTAATAACTGTACATTTCTATTTTTATTCTCTTGACCTTTGTGCTATTGTCATACTTTGTACTTGTACATTAGTTAGAAACCCCATGTTATTATTTTTGCTTGAAATGGTCAGTTATCTTAAATTATTTAAAAAGTAAGAAAAATTGCACTTACCCACATATTTATATGTTCCATATTCTTTATTCCTTTGCATAGATGCTACGTGTTATTATTTTCTATCTCACTTGTACTTCTGTTTGCTATTATTTTTCTTCTGCCTAAAGAACTTTCCTTACCCTTTGTTGAATGCAGGTTTCTAGTGATGAATTCTTTCGGCTTTTGTAAGCCTAAAAAGTATTTTATTTTTGGTTTCAAAGATATTTGCTGGGTATAGAATTCTAAGTTGGCAGTATTTTTTCTTTTGAGTATTTTAAAGATTTTTTGCATTTTCTTCTGGCCTGTATTATTTCTGATGAGAAACCTGCTACCATCCTTATCTTTGCCCCTTGTACTGAGTTTGTCTTCTTTCTCTAGCCTCCTTAACCTTGTTGAACTCTCAACATTCTTATTTTTTTTAATCAGACACACCATTGGGTTCTACCTAAAATTTACATTTCTCCCCTATAGCCTAGAAACTCTCAAGCTGTAAGCTAGGGCATTTGTAGGGCTTTAATTACTTTTTTCTTCCTTCAGGGATCACTATTCTGTGTTGCCTATTGTTCAGTCTCTGAAAATCACTATATCATTTAAAAAAATTTTTTTTCAGTTTAAGTGAAAAGGATAAATTTGGTCCATGTTACTCCATTTTGACTGGAAAGAGAAGTTCTGTGGTATTAAATCAGAAATATAAATACCTAAAACATTAAAATTAACCTCCTTTTTATCTTTTATAATTTAAATTTTTTTCATTTACAGTTCACATATTATATTAGCTTCAGGTGTGCAGCATAGTGATTAGACACTTGTATAACTTATGAAATGATCACCCCCAATAGGTATAGTCGTCTGACACTAAACACAGTTATTACAATATGTTCCCTATGCTGTACTTTATATCCCCATGACTGTAAAATTAACTTCTGATTGTAAAACCTCTTCCCCAGACTTGGTTGTATTTTGCATTAGTTTAGAATTATGAGTTCACTAAAAAATTCATTTAATTCCATAGTGACATATCCCTTTTTCTTATAGGAAATGTTCAAACTGGATTTCTAAGTCATTTCAAGTCAGTGATGGATCAGAAGTTGCAACCCCAAATGGCAGTCTTCAAAAGAATTGCTTTAAATAACAGAGGAAAGAAAATTGATCTACCACTCTAAAAACCTGATCTAGAAAAACATTGCACATGACAGGAAGTAAAAACTAGGGAAATTCATCTGGCTTTTAGTGTACCTGAGTCAAAGGAACTGTCTCTTTGTTTCTCAGAGGAATTTTACATCTGAGACCATTTTAATAACCAACCGTTTTATCTTGACATGATCCCCAGGGAGGAGAAACAGAGCTGTAGGTAAAGCCTGTGTGCTGGTCAAGATGACTTCTGAAGAAATGGCAGCTTCTGTTCTCGTACCTGTAACTCAGAGAAAAGAGGTGTCTTCAAAATCTGCTGTAGATGAAACTAGTGAAAAGGTCTCGGACGTCAGTGTTCCAAAAACACACACTTTCAGGCAGAGTGGGCAGACTTCTCATACCATCTCAAAACTGAACAAACTTAAAGAAGAATCTTCTGGAAGCAACTTGTCTAAGATTCTCTCAATCTCAAGAGAGAAAATAATGAGTGATGAGAACTGTAATGAAAAGTGCTGGGAGAAAAGCGTGCCACATTCTGTGGAAAACCTTAACTGCAACATCATATTGGAAAATGATCTGCGTGGTCTTCCTCAGAGCCAGTTTTATGAAACATGTGACTCTGTCACAGAGGAAACTGGAATTTCTTCTTCACTGGAAAGAAAAGTGTTCCCTGGAATTCAACTGGAAATAGATGAACCTCCCATGGCCGTTAGTCCCTTAGGAAATCAGTCGGCGATCACAGAGACTGGTAGGGCACACCCCGAGAGCAAAGTGGAGCTATTTCACTTTCAATACAAACTTGACAGAAGAATGCCAGATACTTTCTGTACCCTATCAGATAACTTGATTTTGGATGATTGTGGAAACTGTGTTCCGCTGCCTGATGTTGGTGGGGAACAAAAGAAAAATTATATGGCATATACTTGTAAACTAGTACAGTTGGCAAAAAGCTGTGATAATGAGAATGGGCAGCTACAGTGTGATCATTGTGATACCTTGAATGATGAATACTTGTGCTGCGAAGGTTCCTGCCAAAAGGCCAGTGTGGTACGTTCCAGTGACAGCTTTTGCAGGGAGAATTTTACTGATAGTACATCTTCCAAGACCTTTCTGAGCCATTTTGAAGACTTCCCTGATAATTGTGAAGATGTAGAAGATTTGCTGAGAAGTAAAAAGGAGCGGTCCACTTTGCTAGTGAGAAGATTTTGTAAAAATGACAGGGAAGTTAAGAAATCTGTGTATACTGGGACAAGGGCAATTGTGAGAACTCTACCTTCTGGTCACATTGGACTGGCAGCTTGGAGTTACATTGATATGAAGAAAAGTGGTCTCTTATTGCCTTGTGGGAGAGTAACGGGCCAGCTGTCAACAGTGGTGGTCAGGCAAGATGGAAGCCAAAGTCTGCCAGAAGCCCAGTGGTATTCGGTAAGAGTTAAAGTTTCTTTGGATCATTTTTGAAGCTTGATATTTCAAAATCTGAATTTTCATTGTCTTAATTCATGGAAAATTTTAAATTCTGTCAAATTATGATTCATAGGGGAAGTATTTGTATAGTTACCAGAAACAAGTAGACCTAACAGATACTCCAATTGATAGCCGTCAAGTTTAAGTTAACTCTGCAACAATATAAGTAACAAAATACAAATACACATGTCATTAGGAGTGGAGAAATTACAGAGAGTCCCTGGCTACTGTGTGTGGAATTACAGAACAGAAACTCCCGGTAGTGGAAAAACTCCATCAGCTGAAAATATAGTTGTGTCCTTTGGAGATACATGCCTATGCCTTCTTTTGTCGTGTTTTTAGTTGGCAAGGCCTAAAAAAATTTAAAATCCAGTTTTGTCCATTTTCCAACCAGTGTTCCCACTTTCCTCCCTCTTAACCTTTTTTGTCCTATGGACCTTCTTTGGCAATTTGGTGAAGCCTTCAGACTCAGAATGCTGCTAAATGCATCAATGAAATACAAAGCATTATAAAGGACACAGATTATGTGGATGTACATTTATCAAGATATTTTTTGAAATTGTGACATAGCAGAATAGGTGCTTCTTTGTTAACACACTAAACAGTGGCATCCAGTGATAAGCTAACTGCCATAATTTCAAAGTAGTGAGGAATCTAAATTTAAAGTAGGGAGTGGTTTGCCTGGGGCTTTACTAGTTTGATCATCCTGAGAAACCTCTCAGTTCTGGGCAAACCAGGGCAGTTGGTCACACTGAACATAAATATTATTTTAGGGTCTCTACTATGACTGTAATATATGGAAATATTTGTGATTTCTATTGCTGACTGGATCACAGAAACTGCTACTACTACTGGGGTTTGTTTCCTGTATTCATAATTGAAGAAAATGCAAAATTTCTAGCTCTTGCATTGTAGTGTTTCACAATTTCCTCAAACCTGGCCCTGTGAATAAATACCATATCTAGAAAAACATTCTTTTTATTGAAATATAACTAGCATATTTTTACTTTCATCATCACCAGTCATGATAGGTAATATATATTGTGCATATACTTTTGCCAGGCACTGGGCCAAATAATTTATTCTTGATTTCATGCTATCATCTCAGCTGCTCCTGGTACTGGTGTGATTATTAACCCCATTGAATTATTAAGAAAACAGTCTCAGAGAAGTAATGTGCCTCACCCAAAGTCATTTAGCCAATAAGTGGTGTAGTTAGGATTAGAATTCAGGCAGCCCACACTCTTAGTTCTTCAAGATCCAGAAAGAAATAAAATTTAGGGTAAGCTTTTAACGGAACAGACAAGTCCTGTTCATTTTAGCATTTGTTGACTTGCTTGCCACACTCACTGATATCTCAGTCTTGGTATGTCAAACTTGGCTGTGTTTGCTCTGGTAGTTCTAGCCCTGGTTACATATTAGAATTAGAGTTTCCAGCCCCCCATCTCCCAGACCCTCTGAACCAGAATCACTAGGGTAGGGCTCAGCGTGAATATTGTTTTCAAAACGTTCTCCTGGTGATTCTATGATTCTGTGGAGTTGAGAACCATTCACCCGGAGCTTAAACCGAGCTCTTTGGTCTTCATCAGGACATTTTGGAAATACTTCTTTTCCCCTAAAGAAACAGACACTGCCTGGTCTCTCAGAGTGTCAAGGGCAGGACTGGGAGCCTGCCCGAAAAGAAACAGCCTGCAGGCCCTTCTCTCTGTGCATCCAGCCTACCCTTAACCTCAAGAAGTGTTAGTGGTTTGTTTTTGCATTTTCACCTGATACCTCATGAAACCTGAGTCACAAAGTGTCAGTTACTCACATGCTCCCCAGCTCTTCTGACTGAGTTCTGAATTTTGTCCGTGCAGGGAAAAAGGAGTTCATCACAGCATTGTGTCAGCCCACTTAAAAATGCAGCGATTTTTAAACTCACATTCAAGTGAGGTGAAGTAGATTGCTGGAGAGCCATTATCATAGTTCCCCCACATACTTACACAGGCATGAGGGCCGAGAATCTGGTGTAAATTGCAGTGTAATTTTTGGCATGCTTGTTCTCCTCCTCCAGTTCCTGGAGCCTGGTGCTTCTTCTGAGAACATTCTGAAGTCCCCAGCTCAAATCTGCCCCTTTCTGTCAGTCAGACACGCTGGAATGGTAATTTCCAAGGAAAAGAATAGAAGAGATGATGCAAATTACCTCCTCCCTGCTTCTGGTCTCTGGAGGCTGGGAGAGGTTGCCATCCGTCTGTCAGAGTGAACTCCAGAAACTTCTCTTTCCTCTCTGACTGGGTTTCTGGGAAGCTGTGGGCATTTTTATTAAACCTTAACATGAAGCTGGGGAAGCAGCCGACTGTTCTCCTGTTTTTTAAATAATATTTGTTTTTTTTTAAATTTTTTAATTTATTTATCTTTAGAAGGGAAGGGAGGGAGAGAGGGAGAGAAATATCAATGTATGGTTGCTTCTCATGCATCCCCTGCTGGGAACTGGCCCCTGCTGGGAACTAGCCTGCAACCCAGGCGTGTGCCCTGACAGGGAATCGAACTGTGATCTTTTGGTTCGCAGGCCTGTGCTCAATCCACTGACCTACACCAGCCAGGGCTGTTCTCCTATTCTTTCTCAAGGGAGATTTCTGAAAGGAAGAGACCTTTCCAAACATCCATACCATGGCAGGAATCAATCAGTATTATTTGAAGTATGGCATTCTCACTGTATCTTGTTTGTAGTTTTGAGGCTGGTAGAAATCCTAACAAGTTGTGCAGGTGAATTATAGCCACTTTGCCCTATATCCTATAAATTGCTTCCTTCAGCTAAAAAATGCAGACTTGTGGTTCTGGTTTTCTGGTTATTTCAGGTGTCCCCCAATCAGATTGTAAATTTTATAAGGGCAAGGAATGGCCCCACCTTTTATCCACTCTTCATAATGCAAGCATAATGCCAAGTATGTAGTAAACAGGAGAATGTCATGCTAAGAACCAGGGTCTCTGGAGTCAGTTGGCAGTGCCTGGTGAAGAGTGAGTGTCACTACTCTGGCTCTGGCCATTTATGACATGCTTTGTCGTGAACATGTCCCCACCCTCTCCTCTTGGTAGCTTCTTGAACAGGGGAAGTTTTTAGCAGGATTAATTTGAATGTATGTCCCTCAGTCTGTGGTGTGGTCATTTGAACAACTGTTCCTACACATTTAAAGAATGTGTTATTTGTCCAATTAGGGGTTTTTTGGGTTTTTTTTTTTTGCCTCACTTAAAATTTTTTTTCCTTGGTGCCTCTGTCAAAATGACCCAATTACTTTCTATTTGCACAGCTGTACAGAGGAGAATGGATTTGAATGGGGGACATTAATGAGAATTAATGCTGGCTGACTGACTAATCATATTGGTATCCTCCTCCCTCTGCTTATAAAAAATTAAAACCCTATCCCTTATTTAGTTACAGCCACACTCCCTCCCTCCTGCTTTCAATTTATTGGCTCAACAAGACAGTATATTTTGGCAAATGGCTAAAGTCTCCAGGTTAAAGATTGGTTAAGAGTGTTTTTATTTAAAAAAAATTTTCTCCCTTCCTGAATTTTGGGAAATTTAGATACTAGAGTTATTCTGAATGCGAAGTACAAGAAGTTCCTGCCTCTGCTGGAATCATTCATGTAACCTGAGTTCTGCATGCACTGAGTGATGGAACGTGGAGGAAGTGAGGGTAGCCAGGGCAGAAGGTCCATCGGCTCCTGTAATTACACTCTATTTATTTCCCTGCCTTGAATCACAACAGGATTTAATGTACAACAATATGTACAGCAACACAGGGGGGAAATGAGGTGTTATTTTAAAAGTGAGAATAGAAAAACTATAAATTAAAAAGGAAAGTCAAAACCAGCTTCTATGTTACTAGTTTCTTTTCTGTTTTTTTCCTTCTAAAATGTATTTTTCTTTACATTTTTTACTTTCTAATATAGAAAATTAAACTTAAGAGGCAATGGAAATTTTTTGAGTGTTTAACATAAATATCTTTGTTGGTATATATGTCCTTGATTCTTTATTTTCTGTTATGTATAAAGGGACCAACCGATTATGAATTCATTTTCTAAGTTATAACTTTTATGGGTTATCACATATCCGTTGAGCCCTGCCTTTCAGTGTTGTAATTGATGGCTGTTGAAATAGCAACATGTCTTATTTTCTTGTCTGGAAATTTGGTCTCCCTACATCTTGGGTGCACTTTGGACCTTGAAATAATTAAAGTTCCACAGACTGCACAGACGAAGCTGAAAGCCTGTGCTTGGTGACATGCCAGGCCTCCTTTTCCATGACTAAGTTTATGTCAAGTTCATGACATGGGTATAGGATGATGCTGGCCCCTTCATGCTGAGCGTAGTGACAGGGAATCCAGCTCCCGGCCAGTCCCTGAACAGTTTAGTCATGTCTAGTGCATCAGTGGAAAATATGATGGGCTGTCAGAAGCCAGCTTTGTGTTAATTGGATAACTTTCACTTATTAGCTGCATTGGGATAGTTTAGGGTAAATGTACGTCCACAATTTTTACAATGGTTACACCAGCTTTTTGTGTAGGATTTGGCAAAAATAAAAAACAAAAAAAACAAGGAATGAAAAGCACTGACCCTGGACTATAGTTTAAGATGAATGTATTCATGGCCACTGTTATTCTCATGTTAGCTTGGGACATATCACCATTAGGACTTTTTTCTCCTTTTCCTTTCTCCAGATGTCCTGCATAATGAGAATTGGCAACTGGAGAGGCTCTACCCCTGAAAGTGGGCCATGGTTAGAATGTGGCCTGAAAAGAATTAGAACCTGTAGGCAAGGATGGGACCATCCAGTGGAGCCCTGATCTGATCCACACCCTGCATTTTTACACAGGAGAGACTCAGGCTGCCCATAGAATGGCCTCCACATCGTGATGAGTGATAAGATGTCCCTCTCCCCTTTATCACCTACTTCAGTGCTGGTTCAAGAACAGCACTCTA